CACACACACACACACACACACACACACACACACACACACACACACACACACACACACACATAATAAAGGAACTGGAAAGTGCTACCGGACGGACGGTTGAACGGACGAATGGATGGATGGATGGACGAAGGTACGGACGGACGGACTGAATTACGGACGGGTGGACGGACGGATGGATGGATGGACGAAGGTACGGACGGACGGACTGAATTACGGAAGGGTGGACGGACGGATGGATGGATGGACGAAGGAACGGACGGACGGACTGAATTACGGACGGGTGGACGGACGGATGGATGGATGGACGAAGGAACGGACGGACGGACTGAATTACGGACGGGTGGACGGACGGACGGACGGATGAATGAATGCATGCATGCATAAATGGACGCGTGTGCACGTGTGATGTGGTGACTAGGGTTGCTATGTCTAGCAAGGTCGACTTCTGTGTATGGCTGCATGGAAATAATGGCATGTCGCATAGACCACGACACACGTTGATTAAGTTAGCTTGAGTTATAGCTACCTTGACATCGCACTGCCCGTTAACTAGCCTGGAGTTCGCATGTAAGCCGAATGTACAAGCTACAATGTAATTTACTGGCGAGAAGCTATGTAACGATTTTGTATAAGCTGCATATTAAACCGGTATATCAGTCGCGCTAAAAAACATAACTGTTTGGACCGTATGGTATATATATATTCGCGCGCGAGTTAACTCGCTTTCCCATCGCGTATTTAATCAAATTAATAATCGCAGTTCAAGTGATTTGAGTGGACGATCCGGAATACTAGTCTCATTCCATGCTCATACACTGTCGACACTTGACCATGCAATAACCGGTTAAATGCTAATCACGCTGATATGTAATACAGACGCCGGCGCGCCTGCAGGCGTGAGTGATAGCCAATCTGTATCATCAGGAGGCCATAATAGACCGCCGTCGCTATGCTGTACCCACAATGTAAACATGACAGCTGGCTGCAAAAACATCTGATTTACAAATAAAAAAAACCCGAAGAAGAATCACTGAATGAATCGCCGCGCGACGTCTAAACGCATTTAGAAGTGAATCGAATAGGTTATTGTATATGGATAATAGAAAAAGCCACATCTCAACCGGCTGCGTGACTAATTCTGTAATGTGATTTGTGTATAAATAATATTTATGTAGCGGGATGTGCGAGCGGGAATGCCATTCTTCGGTTACAATCTGACGACGACCATACGTACGCTTAGGGAAAAGTGTCATTCCTGAAAGAGTAAGGCGAATTGTACGTGCACGCGGAACCGTTCACGACACTGCACTGCACGCACGCGGACGGGAACGCACGCACGGACGGTGTGTACCCATAGAAATATATAGAGACACCTGTATTATTATTTTTATGTGTGTACCGCTGTGTGCGCAGATAACAGGCACACACGTACATGCACGCGCACACGCACGCTTACACACGCACATATAGACACGCACGCACGTTCTTTACCAGGCCGGGCAGTGCATCAAAAAGTTGTCGGCGGACGACTATATGACTAAGGTATTGCGCGAAGCTGTTCATCAAACTGGATCGTAGCTATAGGTCCCATCATTGTAGCAGAAGTGGTGATGTGATAAACCGTGGCAAAGCGTTGTCGTGTTCTCGCACGCGAGTAGACAAGCAACCCATCACAGCAATAGCAGGTTCCAGCTCATCGCTTGACAAGAATCCTGATGGAGAGAGTACTCTATCAACTCCCATCAACCTCTGATTGAGCGGGAGTGCTTGTAACGGTGTGCGGCGCATGTGCGTGCGTGCGTGCGTGCGTGTATGTGCATGTGTGTACGCGCGTGCGTATGTGCATATGTGTACGCGCGTGCGTGTGTACGCGCGTGCGTATGTGCATGTGTACGCGCGTGCGTGTGTGCGCGCGTGCCCGTGTGTGTGTGTGTGTGTGTGTGGGTGCATGTGGGCGTGCGTGCCGGGTGTGTATGTGTGGGTGCACGCGGGCATTTCGCAATGCGTAGTACGTGCCTGCTACTCCGTGTACCTGCCAGCCAGCGTTGAGCCAATGACACGTCAGCAGTGTAAAGGCCACACTAATTGCTACTTAATTGCTGCAAAACAATCAAAACGTTCAATGTGTGCGAAATGAAAACCATGTGAGCTATTGTAGTAACGCTCCTGTGTGTCGTTCACATCAAATTAATTAAATGATCAATTACTGCACATTTATCGTCATTTCGCAGCTTTTCAGCCAGAAATTTCAACACGCACGTCTGCATTTTTTCCAAGCACATATAGTGAATAATAACACATAACTGCGTTTAACCCTATGAAAAAAACACCGCCGATCTGACGTGGGCTTATATCGTGGCTATAGAATAATTTTCGTAGGAAAAACTGCGGTTAAAAACACGACCCAGCAGCAGCAGCAGCAGAGCCGTCCTCGTCTCGATTGCACTGCCTCTTGTCACCATACCGACCTGACATATACAAACGATAATTTGGACGCCCGGCAAACACACACACGCGCGCGCGCACGCACGATGCATTACGAAAGGCGTGCACGCGCGCAGACAGGTAAGCACGCTAACATTCATACACGCACGGAGTCGAATGCGTGGCAAGTACGACACAATACACGAAAATTGCTATAAAATCGTGTTTATTACCATAATCAGAATGAAAACATACTGTGTAATTGCAGCAGAAACATTCAGCTAGCAGGATCGCACGTGTACGTCCCGTAGTGCATACGTACGCACCACGGCCCGCGCTTATCCAGCAACTTTCGTCTACACGCCCGCCAGCAATTTTCCCATCACAATTCACCAAACAAGCCCAGGAGCAGAACAACCTCACACAATGTTTAACAAGCACATGGCGCCGCTGGTCCTCCAGTCGCCATTTCCCACTGCGACAGTTAAAAAAGTGAAACGCTGACTGAGCAAAAAAAGCATTGTAGTTTTATGGTTATGCTCCACGACAAACAGTTATGCTCCAGGCCCACTAGTTATGCTCCATGCCCATAAGTTATGCTCCATGCCACTAGTTATGCTCCATGCCATAAGTTATGCTCCGGGATCATCAGCTATACTCCAGGATCATAAGCTATACTCCATGCCCTTTGGTTATGCTTTATGTACATCAGCTGTGCTCCATGCTCATCAGTTATGCTCAAGGCCCATCGCTATACTCCAGGATCATAAGCTATACTCCATGCCCTTTGGTTATGCTTTATGTACATTAGCTATGCTCCATGCTCATCAGTTATGCTCAAGGCCCATCGCTATACTCCAGGACCAATAGCTATGTTCGACGATCATCAGCTATAACCTTCTCCAAGGTAGACGGCTGACAGGTGAGGCAGACGAATATTCGTAGGACGACCCAAGCAAGGGCATGCATGTAAACTTATCAGCAGCCGCACGCAAACTTCAATGCTAGCACATGCGGTTTCATAGCCTCCCCCCACCCCCCAGCTCAAAACAAAGACGACCAATTGCCGCGAAACACCAGCGGAACTATAGTCACACTTTCTACAGCAGTCGGGAAAAAAATGCGAAGAAAAACCCCCCCCTCAAAAATGCGCAAACGACGACAACGGCTTCACGCTTCCCGTCGCCGTGGCATCCGCGCCGACAGAAGATATCGCGATGCTGCGAGTTAATAACGGACAGCGTGGGATGACACGGGAGCATTCACTGCGAGCGCGCGCTGTCCTCCTCTCCGCACGTCGCCCGCATGAGCGAGCGCAAACTCAATTGCTTCCGATTTACAGCGTCGAATAATCGCGTTACTACTACCTTTAATAATTTACACAATCAATCATTTTCTGCTACGTGCATGACGCAGCGTGGGAGCAATAAATATTTCACTATGAATGCGCTACAAAAAAAAAGAAAATCGCGTGCTTTCATACAGTGCTCCCCCCTGTCGCTCGCAAACCTCCCGCCTGCCCCGGGGGGTGCAAACATAAGTGTTAGGCCCCTGATTGAGAGTAACTGAACAGTGGCAAAACCCTCCAGTAATCCCTAGCAGCGAGACACAGTAATATAAGCTTCCCGTTCATATTCTCTCCGCACAGATAGACACATTCCGGCAAACTAACGATAACATAGATGTGCGCGTTAACCTGGTGCTCGAGGCCACGCTGCTTGATGCGGGGAAACTGATTAAGCACGTCTGTCTGCCCTTCTGGCTACGACCGCCTGCCTGCTGAGCAGCAGCTATTACGTGTAGCTACCTCGAGAGCGATAAAACAAACCGTCGCGTCCCCTTACCACTACGATATTGGGATTACTGACGTACGTCCGCACGTGAAGTATGTACATTCTATTGCCGGCACGTCGGCATCTGCTCGCCCGAACCTCGGAACGTATTCCGTTGACCTCTGACCTCGACCGAGGGTCGGCGTCTGTGCTGACCGGCCGGACACGCTGCGGCAGCGGCATTCTTGCGGCCAGAGACGCTTCAACAGAATTCTCGCACACGCTCGCGCCGCAACCGTGTTGGCAAGCCATTGCCATATGCGAAAGCTGCGTCGCGAGGCCCACCGATAATCTACCTCCACAGACACTTCTGTCGTCACATCGCATAATATCCGCATTGCTCGCAACCACGAATAGTTTCTTTTTCGCGTTCCTGTGTTTCGTCACCGTTTTCTCGTTGGCGCGTCCCCCCGTCGGCGCAGCTACGCACGCGGAAACCGAAAACGAGACTGCCTGCCACGCGAGTTTGCATGAAGCCCAGAAGGTGGCACCACCGTCCAGTCACCGCGAGATTTCCACGATAGTTACACATATGAAGATACCACTGCTGGAAGCTTCAAAAGCACGCAACCGAGTGACTCGAAAAGAGATCGAAAATAAAAGGTCGTGTGTCCAGAAAAGTTCAAGGCCATCTCATGCGTCACCTGTGTAGAAAGAGGAGAAAAAAGTGGTTTAAAGCTATTGTCTCTCATATAAATCGAAAAAATTATTACACAGAGACAAATTAAGGCTAACCTGTTAGCAGCCATATTAGTGATGCGTTTGTGTTCTAGGACATGTTAGCCTTACTGTACACGCATGGTGTTATGCAAGAAATACCAGTTAGTATCAAGACGGTCAAGAAAATTACGAGAGCGGTAGGGAAAACGTGAACTCATTGCTTTAAAACATGTCTCTAAGGCACACATGCGATCACAGACATCAGTTCAGCCCACTGCCTCACTGTGCGCTCTATCACTGGGCAGGAAATTCAGCCACAGCCCACTTATAGCTCAACGCAGCTTAAAAATCTTCTCTGGCAAGCTGCCCAGTAAGGCCACATGTGCCACACCGCCAAAAATCAGGCAAGCTACCCACCAAGATCACGTGGACCACACCCCACCGTCAGGCAAGCTGCACACCCAAGGACAGGGAGGTCAAACGTTCGAAGAGCCCCTGAAATGAGGAACCACCCTGCACAACGCTGCGACCCACGCCCATCGTCCCCATCTACTTACTCGGCTACGTGGGGGCGCCACTGCGGCATCTCTACGCCTCGGCAAACACCTGCAGGGCTTTCTCGAGCCGCTTCCTCGCTTCCAGCACCTTCGTCTCCTGTCGCTTGATGTCCTCCTCACTCACCATGAGCGCCTGCAAGACACCGACGTGAGCAACACACTAACAAGTGGATGTGGGAATTGTTTTGTTTACAGTGTTACGTAGTTGTTTTTTTCACAATTTTAAATTGAATTAATGTCATTTGTATATTAAATATTAAAGATATGTTATATTATATTTTTTTATTGTTTTTTTTTATAGTTTTTAGTCCTATCATGGACTTAATTAGAAAAGTTTGGTCCCATTTTCATCTAGGAAGGAAGAAGATTTAGTGATTAAGTATTTTGCGGCTTATAAGACTTACCGGTGCATAGAATGCATGCTAAATTTAGCATGAAATATGTTAGAAAAATAGAATCTCAAAGCAAATTTCCTAGAGCCTGCACAGGATAAAGAACTACTGCTAAATATTATATATATTTAGGGTAATTTGTGCCCTTGAGATTATTTCCCAAGTTTTAATCAATTACACAATAATCCAAAATGCATAAAATAAACTGGTTAGTATCAGCCAAGTCTAGCTGACCTTATATCTACTTCAACGTTATCCCTGATTACTAGCAAGTTTCTTTATATTGTTTATTCCCAAGTATTTTTAAAAAGACTTCTTGGAAACACCATCAGTGATCACAAATTAATGTCCTATAATACTGCAAAATACAGTGATTTGAAATTTTAAAGCACTAAGGCAAATTAGGAGGACCAAGGTAACTAATTTCAAATCAATAGCCTACAGTGGGATAAAAATGTATGTGTAGAATCCTCTTAAGCCAGATGAGAGATGCTCTCACCAATTGATTACATGACATCGATATGACACTATATCGAATTGAGTCGCATTCCATAATAAAATTTGATGTGGGTACTCAGGACAGCACCACACCAGGTTGATTCGCAGCTACAGCTGGCAGAACAGATGAGCTTAAAAAACTAGCATGCACAAAGATGTGCACACACAGTGATGGACACATGCACACACCTGCATGAGGGGTTGATCAGGGTTCAAGTACACTCCAGGATTCTTATCGAGTGACGATTTGGAACCTGTCTGTCCTGTAATGGGTTGTCCACTTGTGTGCAAGGACGTGGCAATACTTTGTAATAGTGTATCACTCTCCACATGTGGTCCAACAGCTGCAATGATGCAAAATGCCATGTTCACTTATAATTTATTCACAATCCGTGTCCAGAGCAATGACAGATTCATCGTCAAAAAGACCATAACAGTTCCATTAAGATGACTGCACAATTGTTGATTTGATTGTTAGGAGGTTCCTATAGAAATACCAACATATTACACTATAGTAATGGTCAGCAACACCTGTTCTAAGAACTTACATTTGAAATTGTGTGGCAGGTTCAGAGATTCGAGGGCATTTCCATTTATATCACTTGCATGTAAACCCTGTAACCGCTTCTCCCAGAAGACCTGTGGAAGAAATTCAACATGTACACTGATAAGACTCGCAAGGATAGCAAACGTTTACATTCTCGACCAAGAGAATTCGGGCAAAAAAAATTTCTCTACACCAAACACCAACACGCAGAACACAAGCGGAACACTGGCGATTGTAGCCAGTCAAATCAATGTATTCGGCGCTACCAGTGCCACAAGCATCGATGCCTTTCCGTCTGTGCGATCTCTTCGCTGGGATGTTCTTCCCCCGAATCAACGATTATTACCTGCTTTGGCTTGTCTTGTGGACCGTGTTTCAACTCCGACTTCACTCGGCTATTCTGAGTCTTCACGACCGTCACTGGCTGTTTGAATATAGAGGCCGTCTGCCTGATCGGTGGGACCAGGCTGGCGTCATTTCTCACGCCCCGCGCATAGTCAAACTGCGTACCTGGAACACATCAACGAGTCACCAACCGGCTCTGTAACCCGTGACACAGTTTACAAGTCGAAGGGCAGCAAATCGCTACGTATCGCAAACGGTATTGCGTAAATGAGCCCCCCCCTCAATTTGTTTTTTAACCACGGGCAACTACTGTCACACTAATACGCATGTGCATGAATGTCGGCAAATTTATCATTGAGATACCTTTCAGTCTCTTACTCTTTCTGAGCACACCGCTAAGCATTCTTCCAGTGCGGAAATCGAATGCACTTAGATCAATCATGTCTCCTACTTCTCTCGCGAGCTGTGGCTTGCTGCGTATCTTTTTGCCGTCCGGGCTGGAATTTAGACAACATTCATCTTAATTTCAAATGGGTAGATCAACTGCTAACAAGTTGGGCAGGTGTATTTCTGTTAATATGCATGGCACTAATACTTGTGTCTAATGCAATATGTACTTCGTAATTCAAGTGATTAAATGCAGTTGTGTTGAAAGCTATTGTAGTGGCATTGGAGGAAATCATCTGTTAGCTCTTTCATTGGAATGCATGATTTATAATGTGGGTAGAAACTCTGAATATGAACTTTCATACGACATATAATCATATGGTATACATAGCTACTTCACATATATTAATAAATTAGATCGTTATGTAGCTTTTGTAGCCTGCTTTGTGGGTATATAGTACATATAGTTACAGGTTTTTTGCTTGCACAACGTTACAATTTCAGTAGAATGGAAAGCTAGATTATCCCAATTAACTTGGTAAAATGAATAATGGTATTAAAGCCGCACTATGCGCATCCAAACGCTAATTTCTCCAGTACTAGACTAGCAAATACTTCGTGTCATGCATAATCACACTACCTTATGGCAAAATAAACTCTAGTTCCTCCCATTTCACTGCGCGTTTGCTTAAAACCCACAAGAAAGAGGTGCGAAATCTGGTAATCTGGCGCCAACGCCGACTTGTTAAGTTTGCCAAACAATTTATCCTTGAAGCGGTTAGGTGACGTCACATGTTTTTATCTTTGCTACACCAGTACCGCTGTACCGCAGCACCGCTGCACTTGGGAGAGCAACGCGAAACTGTCAACAACATCAGAGAATTTTAACAACATTCGAGGTATTTTCAAATGCCTTTTATAAGACAACGCGCAGTGAAATGGGAGGAACTAGAGTTTATTTTGTCATAAGGTAGTATGATTCTGCATGACACAAAGTATTTGCTAGTCTAGTACTGGAGAAATTATAGTGTAGATGCGCATAGTGCGGCTTTAACAAACAGGTTACCAACGTGGCACAATTACGGTGAATCTAGTTACTACCAAATTGGTATTTCTATCTAATTCTTGAGTAAATGCTATAACAATCATCCATCACACTAATATTTGGTGGCTAAAAAAAGATGCAAGGCAAAATAGCAAGACAATATGAAACAAAGCAAAACACTACGAAAAGACGTTACAAAAGTCATGGAATAGGTAGAGGAAAGGCAGAATCTATAAAAAAAAATTCTGCTTTCATACCTTCAGATCAATTGCTATTTCATTAACTAAATGAGCATTAATACACTATAATATGTTCTACCAGTACTACATGAATTATGGTTACCTTAACACTGTTTGCATTTATGCAAATTTGTGCACGTAGTTATTGGTTGCAGTTTTCGATGAACAGACTATTGCATTTAGCATACAATCGTTTTGTGTTTAGTTTGCGTTTTTCAGTTACCTGCGAAAACGAAAATGCATATACACACAAGCAAAGTACTACATAATTTATATTAGTATTAGCAGTATTAATACAGTCCGACCTCCTTTATCCGGCCACGTCGAGACCGGCACCCATCCGGATATGGGATTTGGCCGGATATGAGAGTTATGCTCAAGCATTTCTATGCAGTTCAGTAGGGTTTATGCATGTGATAATGTATTTACTCGTTGCTATGATTATTTGTAACAAACTGTCGTGTTTTATGGTTTATATACGAAATGGAAATCAAATGAAATGAAACAAAATTTTTACCGGAGGCATAGCGGACACTAGATACAATAATGTAACCCAACAAAAGTAGGGTTACAACGCGATATACAGATTCCCAATGCGCATAGCGTTCGGCTAACTTCGTCATAACGCCATGACTGACAGCAGGCATCCCATGATACATTTGATATTGGAGTGTGTTGGAGTCGAAGTTAGCCGAACGCTATGTGCATTGGGAATCTGTACGTCACAGGTCAACAGAAATGGCGCTCGAAATATCGCCGCTCCTCACTTCGAAATTTTGTAACAGGTTATAATAGTTTAATACAGAGTATTGTGATACATAGTAAGTCCCAGGATAGCGGAGAAAGGTTCGTGTTTAGAATAAACCCAGTTTGGAAGTTGTAGTCTTGAAAAACGCACCATAAAACTGCTCTGAGTGAATCACTCAGGGGCTCCTCCAAAGAAAAGAATAGGCTCGCGTTGTAACCCTACTCTTGTTGGGTTACATTATTGTATCTAAGCGGACACGAGCGGACAACACACACGCGCGCGCGCGCGCGCGGTCACACACGCAAACATACGTACGGTTGGTACATCGCGCGAGTTTTGAGCGAGATTTTTAAGTGGAAATAAATGAAAAACAGAGAACATACATTGCGAGATCGCGGCCGGTTAATCGAGATTTCCGGATAACGGATGGCCGGATAAAGGAGGTCGGACTGTAATCAGAAATGTATAGACCTTTATCCTCATTTTGTGTTAGTAATTCCGGGTTTAAACAGTAGTTACTTGTAGTAGTAGTAGTATTAGTAGGACTAGTAGTACTACTACTACTACTACTAGTATCATTCAGTGTTAAGGCAACCGTCAGTAGACCAAGGAAATGGCTAGACAAGTGTCTAAAAGTAAAAACAAATGTGATGCCACAATAACGACTACACGCATGTGATATAATCCTACACGAACTGAATAAGTACCGTGATAATTACAGTACAGAGGAAAAAAGATTCGTGTGGTCTAGGCGACAGCGGAGGTTTGCACTCGGGCTAAAGCAAAGGTGAACGATTCGATTGTTCGCGTCAGCGAACGAGCTTCACCTGTGATAATACACGTCCGACTTCCCGGCCGATAGTCCCGATTGTCGTATTACTTCCTCTTTGTACCAGCCCTTTGGTAACGCGGTGCACTCCGATCGTATTTTTTCGATTGACATCTGCTTGTTTCAGCCAATAATTCCCCACCTTTTTTGTGTTTTATTATGAAACGACATGAGATACACAAAAATTGAGCAAAACAAAAACATTTCATAGATGGCAGCACTGTTAAGAAAAGAACATATAAGTCAATCGCTGATTCAGTCGCACGGTTCAGTTCTTTATTCAGTTGACCATTTCCAAGAATGAAACAATGCATGATTTAAAATTTAGTTATAATTTCTGGGAATCATAGAAGACATAGAATACCCTGCTAAATCGTAGAGACTCAATACTATGATACTGAAAAAATAGTGGTATAGCAAACACGCAAGTCTTTACTCAACTTGATTGACGATTGACCACACCAGTGTTGTAGTGGTAAATCATTTTTTGGGTATACTCCCTTACACTGATAGCTCAGTCCTCAAAGCAACAAGCCAACGACGAGGCGCTGCGCCGTGGTGGTGATTCACAAACACAGTGCCCCCCCTCCCAGTGGCCCAACCCTGACCAGATTTATAACCAGGAGATTTAAAAACTTGCAAGTGGGACTTAGAAGAAAGCTAGAAACGGGAGATTTAGAAGAGGTTCGATTTAGAAGTTGGATTTAGAGATCGATCTGGGAGTTAGAACTATAGTAAGTAATACTGTGATTTAACGAGCTGCAGGCGCGCCGGAAGCAGTTTTGGATTGGGGGGGGGGGGGCAAAGACCTAAGGGGGCTCACGATTTTTTTTATCGTGTGGGCGTGAGCGCGTGTGCGCGACGTGTGTGCGTGAGCGCATGTGTGTGCGACGTGTGTGCGTGAGCGCGTATGTGCGACGTGTGTGCGTGAGCGCGTGTGTGCGACGTGTGTGCGTGAGCGCATGTGTGTGCGACGTGTGTGCGTGAGCGCGTATGTGCGACGTGTGTGCGTGAACGCGTGTGTGCGACGTGGGTGCGTGAGCGCGTATGTGCGGCATGTGTGCGTGAGCGCGTGTGTGCGGCGTGTGTGCGTGAGCGCGTATGTGCGGCGTGTGTGCGTGAGCGCGTGTGTGCGGCGTGTGTGCGTGAGCGCGTGTGTGTGACGTGTGTGCGTGAGCGTGTGTGTGCGACGTGTGTGCGTGAGCGCGTATGTGCGACGTGGGTGCGTGAGCGCGTATGTGCGGCGTGTGTGCGTGAGCGCGTGTGTGCGGCATGTGTGCGTGAGCGCGTGTGTGTGACGTGTGTGCGTGAGCGCGTATGTGCGACGTGTGTGCGTGAGCGCGTGTGTGCGACGTGTGTGCGTGAGCGCATGTGTGTGACGTGTGTGCGTGAGCGCGTATGTGCGACGTGTGTGCGTGAGCGCGTGTGTGCGACGTGAGCGTCAATCACGCAAAGCGCGCAGCGAAAACTCAAAATGGATTTATAAATTAGTTTTTGAACGTTAGAATTACCAAGTCATAGCTCATACATTTTATTTTTATTTCCCACTCTTCTTCTTTTTTTTGGGGGGGGGGGTTTTGGTTTTGCCCCCTCCCTTTTGGATTAGAGGGGCGCCCCCCCCCCACTTTCGGCGCCTCTGACGTGCTGTACGTATTATAAGAGGAAACACTGTAATTCCCTGTACCTTGTTTATACCGTACGTATTAAAGATTTATCAGTTCGGTTACCTAATTATAACTCATTGTTCCTACTCTCTATCACTTAGTTTCGTTCTCTATCTAGTATCTACGCATCGACACCACGGCACACGTATTATAACTATAGCTATATCGATCTAATTTGTAGGCTGGTTTTACACGCGGCAGTGACACCTTTTATACCCCTAGACAGAAATGACATATACGGTAAACATACAGTCACGGTTCAGTCGCACAGAGCAAAACCGCTACACTGGCATAGCCTGGGCGCCGCGCGCCACGTGCGCCCCGCCGGCCCTTGGAGGCGGATGCGCAATCATCAATGTCGATAATACGTTTGATTTGTCACAAGTTAGTCGCGTATATGGATAGCCAACACAAATGAATTCTATGGAACACCACGCGCAGCGTATGAATGTCGACGATTTTCATAATTCGTAGATCTACTAGTCTACATTTATTTTATTTTTTGTATTTATAGCTTAATTATTTTTTTTTAGGTATACGTGTAACGTGCGTATACCCAAAAATGTCCTTTTTTTCAAGTATACGGCGTATACATAAGTATACCCTCCACTGCATCACTGGGCCATACCCCCTTTTTTATCCGTTTTTTTGCATGTCAAGCTGTTAGTCGCATCAAAACGAATATCCCCTGGCTTTGCAGAAAACAATTCGTTGCATTCTGTTACCAAATGTTGGTTACTACTATTACTTTGTCAGACACACTTGAACCTTCTCAAACTGAGGTTTTTGCGTCTGTCAATCTAGCCTGCCCCTATCTAACCCCCTAATGTAATGCACAGTTTCATCTATAACTGATCAATGTCAGGCTCTGTCCTTGTTCGTTCCAGTTCCTTGATATATATATATATATATATATATATACATATATATACATATATAATTATAAACATAATCTTTTAGGGTAAGAGAAAGCACTGGTACAAAAATGATATACAATAATTATATACAGTAGGGCCTACATACAACAAAGACATCTATCATATTCTGAAGCTGAGGCATGGTTTATTTCAATATACAGTTTATTATGTATACAAAGGTTCACTCAAGGGAAAATAGCAACAGTGTACTCTATGGGTCTGTTAGTGTTGGTGTCTGTTCTATTGAGCTGGTTTCACTATTTAACTGCCACTCAGAAGAAATGCCAAGCATCCTTTATAGACAGGTGTCCATCCTATAAAGTTGTCTGCTCACTGCCAAACGTGTGTTTGACTGTACATATCAAGAAGATAGAGCTTGGTACAGTTTACAACTAGACAGAGGGCACTCACGGAGAGTGCATACCTCCACGAGCGTGTAACATGTTATACATGTGTATAACAGCTGGCTCGCTGCTGGCTGCTGCTGACTGGACGCCCTAAGGCGAGCTGCTGCCTGACTGGACACCCTAAGGCGAGCTGCTGCTGACTCGACGCCCTAAGGCGAGCTGCTGCTGAATCGATCGCGCCCAACAACTAGTGGCTACACACACACACGAACACACACACGAACACACACACGAGACCGATTACATTACCTCGTTGGCGGAGGTAAATATAACTAGAAAGGGCAGTTGTCGCCAACTACATCATGTATCCCCCGTGTTCTCCCTAAGATGTGTAAGTATACGAAGTTTGGTCGTGCTAGGTCAATTAGGGGCTAAGTTGTAGAGCGGAAGGGAAATATGATGAAGGTCAAGGTCAAGGTCAATGTCAAATAAAGGTTGCAGTGAGCGGGTTTCGATACGCGACACACCTTCTCCACAAGATGTGTGTTAAAGTATACCAAGTTTGGTCACGCTAGGTCAATTAGGGTCGAGTTATAGAGCGAAACGAAGATGTGATCAAGGTCAAAGTAAAGGTAAAATAAAGGTCGCAGTGACCGGGTTTTGTACGCTGCTCACTTTCTCCCCAAGATGTGTAAGTATACAAGTTTGGTAGCGCTAGGTCAATTAGGGCCGAGTTAGAGAGCGGAAGGGAAATATGATTAAGGTAAAGGTCAAATAAAGGTCGCAGTGACCTGGTGTTTTGGTACTCTGCACACCTTCTCCCCAAGATGGTGTAAGTATCACAAGTTTGGTCATGCTAGGTCAATTAGGGGTCGAGTTATAGATGCGGAAGGGAAATCTCTGCAGCGGACGAGCGGCGGCAGATGGGAGCATGAAACTAATAGTATCCCGCCGACTTCGTCGCGGGGGATACAATTAATGCAAAATTACAGGATATAATCCTTTCAATGCCAATAAGGTCAACGGCAAGTAATAAAATTTTAGCCAAAATAACAGACATTCCTCTGCATTTACAATGTTGACATACTTTAGCTTATCAAAACACATTTCTTCATGTATGGATTGGAATAACGCATTAATTTAGAAATTTGCGAATGTGAAACAAGATTCACAAAATCCTTAGCTGATCACTTCCAAATCAATGCAGAACCGGTATAATATTTAGACAAAAAAGCTAAAGCGTACAGTTAAAATAACTGACATTCCAAGTCACTTGCACATGGATAGCTGATATATTACACTGCAATAATGGTGTTACAAGCACACAACAAACAATAATAGTGTTCCTGAGTCTAATCATCGGCTTCTGGTTCCAAATTAATGTTGGTGCCGAACCGTGCGTACAGCTGTACTTTCAAACCAGACAGAATCACGTTTATTGCTGCAGACTTGCGATTTATTTCCTCTATCTCCTTCTGCTTTTCTGCCTTGGCAGACTCGATCATCTCCTGCGTTTCCGTCAGCGTCTGGTTGACGTAGACTTCGCCGACTCTGTAAGGGATCAGCTCGTCTTCATCCATCACTAGCAGGAGATCATCGGCAGCATCTTCTAGGTTCTGCAGCTGCTTCTTGTTTCGCTCTAGTTCATCATTCAGCTCCTGCAGTTGCATATTCTGTCTCGCAAATTTATTTATCTTCTGCTGGTCCTCGTACGACACCTGTATGTCCGCGCTCGGGTCCAATGCACCGGCTGGTTTCGTCGTTATAGTGGCCATGGCAGTGATTTCCGTTTGCTATGTCCAGGTTAGTATGCACATCAACGACACAAGTCTCGAAGTTGAGCTCACGTTTGCCAATAAATTGCTGCAAATAAAAGTAAAAACCAATAAATACTTACAACTACTATACTACTATTACTACACTACTATTATTTTGCTGTATTTACTGCAGCCCATACATTCCTGTGTGCAAATAAAGGGTGGAGAACGTTGGGAAAGGGGGAAAGTTCCTGTAAGCTCCTGCAAATTCTTCCTCTATTTCCCTCAACTAATGTATTACCTTACTATCACTCCATTATAAATGGAATCTTTCAAAAGCAAGCAGGAGTTTTTCAGAATGTCATGACAGGGGTAGAAATTAACTTTTGAACAAGGGAGTCCAACAGACTCCCAACCCTCAAAAAAGTCCGCAGCAAAATGAGGGAGTCCGCAGTCTGAGGTTCAAAATTAAAGATATTAACAATAACGGCATGTGCTTATTTTTAAGATTCATGCAGTTGCACATCTGCTGCACAAATTTCTTTGGCATATATAGCTGACAAAAATACAGTAATTCCGCGAGGCCGGTGCTCCGGAACGAACTAGTTAGTATGGCAGAATTTTCAGGGGAGTCACACGGACTTCGTGTATATATTTAAATCAGGGAGTCCGACAGTAAATCAGGGAGTATTTGACTCCGGACTCCCATTAATTTCGCACCCTGCATGATATATTACATTTCCGTCATCCTAGATTGTTAGAGAAACAAGTTACTCGCACTCACAGTCACTGGCAGTGACACTGAGTGACACTGATACTATCAGTGATAGGGATACTGTCAGACTGTCATTAGTCACTGATTACACTTTTACAGTGATACACTAGTATTGTCACTAGTCACTACCAGTACCACTACACATACTCACAGACAGTGTCAGTGACACACAACACTACATTCCAGGCTGTCAGATTTGAAGAGTACATGAGGACTACTAATGACTCCCCTAGGACACCATAGGGGTCTTTTCACGCTCCTATAATCACACCCCTTAAGAGGCATGATGGGGAGCTCACACTAAAAATCAACACCCTTAAGAGGCATGATGGAGAAGCTCCACTAAAAATCACAACCCTTAAAAGGGATGATGAAGAGGCTCGCTTGAGGGCTCTCCATCATGCCTCTTGGGTGTTGATGATGTATATCATGATCAATCCTCAGCCTAGAGTGAAATCCAAAACGAAAATTGGGATGTCATGTCAACCACTGATTATCATTCATCTTCACTTTCATTCATTCAATGGCTTCATCATGATTACATTCTTTCAATCCAACGAACGCGTCACCCGGGCCC